GCTACCGATTGAGCCACATCCCCAGCCCAATATCATGTTATGTACCTTTGAGAAGATGTGTGAGTTTGTCATTACCCTACTTGGCATTACCTTACTTGTTATTACCCTACTTGGATATCCAAGTAGGGTAGTAACATGTTGTGCCCAAGCATTACTTGATGGTCTAGAATAATATGGAATTGTCAGAGCAACAAAGCGGGTTCTAGGCTTTAGAACCACACAACAAGAAAAGGTACCTCCAGTCTTAAAAAAATAGTTTACATTTCTCAAGATCAACTTTGGTACAGTATTGGATGCCATTTCAGGAGCATTAGTAATTTAATACTTACCTTTTCTATTGTTTGTAATAATAACATTGTGAAAGTAAATGACATATTTGGCTGTTAGTGAAATGGATTGTGTATTTATAGAAAAATAGTCTGTATGGCAGGAATTGTCTTTATCATGTTTTTTTTCTGAAATATTTTTATGTGACTAGGTTATTGCTACTCTTTTCTTTCTAAAGTAGGGATGGTAGGTGAGAGAATATACAATAAAGTAACTATTTTGATTTTTATGTAGGAATGCATATGCCGAAGGCATGTAGAAATTAGAATTCTCAGGAAGTGTGTTCTTGCAGAAATGCCCCTGTCACTAAGTCTGCTACTTTGCTGGTGAAATCATACAAACCTGGTAGATGTAAAATATAAATATTGTGTGCTACATATTTTTGTTTCTAAGGGGCCAGGATCTATTTTTATTTGAAGCCAAATATAAGTCAAATTTTGGAGAATAATTAAAAACCAGCCTTTTCCTTCCCGTTTCTTTGTCATATGAAATTAGCTACAAAGCAATCACCACTTTACCCCCAGACTAATCAACCTTGTTCGGGTTTATTTTTTTGCAGGAGGTATATCGAATTCCAAAGAAAAGTCAAACTGAAAAGGACAGTTCAGGTAGGTATTCAGAGATACTCTATGTATGACTTTACAAATATTCTTTCAGTATATGCAAGGGTAACTGATAAATACTTAAGCTTTTTTGTTTTTGAAATCAGACAATACATAATTAGGTAAATTAAATATTTAAAATTTAGAAACTTGAACTTTTATTCTTTCTTAATGACTTTTTGCCAAAGGAGATTTCCCTGTTACTGCCTGTGTGTGTGTTGATACTGTTCTGAAAGTAAGTCATGGTCTTTCAGTATCTTTTATCTGTTCATTGTTTCTCTAAAGGTTTATTCTTAAACCTGTACTCCTAGAGACCTGAGGAAGAATGTTTAGTTTTAGATATTTTTACACAAAATCTGATGTGTATATTTACTTTCCTAGGGAAAGCTCAAAATGTTTTAAGACTTCTAGGGGAGTCACAAAAAGGTTGAGAATCATTGTTACATAACAGGAAAGCTGTGGGAGTCTACCACTTAGTTATATCTCCTAGAACCTTTCTGGGGGAGTAAACTAATGAGCTCAATCATTGATTTCTTGAATTCCTCTAGCACTGGTCCGTAAATAGTGTTACAAAGCCATTGTGAATGGTATTTTGTTTGTTTATTGTTATCTTTTGTATATTTTAAAATCCTACTACTTTGTTCATTAACCTCTACTTAGGGCTCTAGGCAATATTGGTTGGCAAAACAAGTGGCATGCTATAGATTTGATTATCAGAGGCTACTTCTCTAGACTCACTGAGTTGAAACCATTGGCAACACGGATGAAACAAATACCTATGAAAGTTTTCCCCCAATAGTTTGCAAATATCTAGTGAGGTATGGCCCTGTAGGAGAAGCAGAGGCAGGTCTTTAATGGATAACTATAATCTTTACAGGGAACAGCTTTTATGTGGTAGCTTCAGTCTCTCCCTCACATGGAATCCCCTATTTCAGTTTTATTTTTAAGGAAATGCTTATAATATAATACAAACCTGGTTCCACCCTTTAGGTCACGCAGTTAAAGCTTAGAACCCTTAAAATTCAGAAGAATTGTGAAGTATTTTGGGAAATACATAGTGTAGTTCAATCTTTGTTTTATAATATGAGGAATTCAGCCTGAATAAATGGAATGATTTCTCTGTCTCACATATTCTAAGGCAGAAGTCAGAATAACTTTATCATGTGACCCAGCAATTCCACTTCCAGGAATTGACCTAAGAGAAATGAAAATATGTTCAAAGGCTTGTGCATAAATGTTCATTCGTGTGACATTATGTATAATTTATTATTAATAGTCAGGAGTGGAAACAACTCAAATTCTACCAACAGAAAAATGGATAAACAAAATGTGGTACACACTCTCAGAATAAAATAGAAAGGACTGGGGGTATAACAGCTTAGTAGAGCACCCTTGGGTTCAATCCCCAATTGTTTGGGGGTGGGGCAGAGAAGAACAACAACACAGTCTGATAATAATACAGACACAGAGCAATCGTGTGTAATAGCAGTCAGTTTGTATTGAGAGTGTTCAGTTGTGTCTGAAATGTTCAGTGGTCAGATTGACTGAGAAAGGTGAGAAACTAGTAGGCATGGTTAATGAAAAATAGTACTCAGTCAATGTTGAGAAACAACAGTCATGGAATTTAGAAAGTGAAGATAGAGCATGAACCATTCTAGATAAAGGAAACAATGAAGAAGCTTAATATTATCAACTTGGAATGGGAAGCTGTTATCTTTGCTTTGCAGATGTGCCCATTTGGCTTTGATAACTTCTTTAAGTTAGCACCTATGTCTGAAATATTTTATTTTAATTGTAGTTCATAAAGAGTTGTCTGATAACTTTTTTAAAAAGTTAAACTTATGCTAAGCATGTCAGGCTTCTTTTCTATAAATTATAAATATAGAGTGTTATAGGGCCAGTTGTAGGCTTTTTACATTTTAAGCTGACAAGCACACTGTCTTGCTAAAGGTAACAGGAACATTTTGCATGCATGTACTTGCTGAATGTTAGACATGTTGAAGACTTGGACTGAGTCTTTTGTGGGGGAAAGAAGAAAAAGGCATTCATGGAAGGGAGTTAAGTGCAGTGAACACATAAGACTTTTGTCTCATCCAAATTCAGTATTAGATAGATAAGGGAAGGGTCGATAGGTCTGTTTATTGTATACAAGTTTAATTATACTGTTGCTGTACTTTTATAAAAAAATTTATACAGTTGATGTACTTTTATAAAGTTTACCAAGTAAACTTTTTGAAAACCCTTTTTCTCTTAGTAACTGAACGAGGAAGGGATGCTGTTGGTTTTAGAGATCAAACAGCTGCCCCAAAGACTCCTAACAGGTCAAGAGAGAGAGACCCAGATAAGCAAACTCAAAATAAAGAGAAAAGGAAACGAAGGGGCTCCCTCTCACCACCCTCTTCTGCCTATGAGCGGGGAACAAAAAGGCCAGATGACAGGTAAGTGACATGAGTTTTTTCTCGTTTTGGGGGCAAGACAGAAAGTACCCAAGTCAAATACAGTCATCCCTCCAAATCTGCTTATTACTTTGGACCCAATGGCTTTTGGAATTAGTACTTTCTCTTGATGAATGAGTATAAAATTTTACTGATATAAATCTGAAGACAGATTATCTTTTGTTTGTAATAATAGATGTAAAAAGTTAGTAGAGTTTTGGTACTTGAAAAGTTTCTGTTTGACACATAAATGCCATGTAGAGAGCCAAAGCTTTTTTTTTTTTTTTTTTAAGGGAAATGAAAGTTGGTAAGACGTAATGCTTCTAAAGCAATAGCAGTTCTTCAGAAGTCAGGCCTTTGCCAGGCACTGTGGTGCATGCCTGTGATCCCAGCAACTTGGGAGACTGAGGCAGGGAGGATTGCAAGTTTGAGCCGGCCTCAGCAATTTAGCAAGACCCTGTCTCAATAAAGGGCTGGGGATGTGACTCAGTGGTTAAGCACCCCTTGTACCAAAAAATAAAATGAAAGAAAAAGTTAGGATTTGATTTTCTACTGACTCTCGTGCCATACCAATCAAAATACTGATCTGAAAATATCAGAGGGAAAAAAAAAAGTGCATTCCAGAGTCCTTCTAGGAAAAATAAAAAGGAGTGGGAATGTAGCTTAGTGTTAATTGTTAAGTGCCCATGGATTTAATCCCTAGTACCAAAATAAATAAATAAAAATTTTAAAATAATAAGAAAAAAATACCAGAGACTCTTGTACTGGTAGAGAAACAAAGCACATAACCATCCATTGAGGGCTAGAAAACAGTTATTCCAGAGAAATTCTCTTTTTTAAATTGAATTTTCTTTTTAAAATTCTGACATGATTTTCATATACTATAGCTGCCAGAAGTCTTAATTTGGGCTCATAGTGGCTCACTGTGATTTGAATTTATATTCCCCTAATTACTAAATAGATTGAAATATGAAATGCTTCATGAATTTGCGTGTCATCCTTGCACAGGGGCCATGCTAGTATTCTCTGTATTATTCCAATTTTAGTATGTGTGCTGCCAAAGCAAGTACTAGGGTGAATATCTTGTCATTTGCTTTTGGATATTTCTGTTTTCTGTGAAAGCCCATCCTTTTTTCACTAATGTGCAGTCCTGCCTCACTCCAGCAAGTTTTCATATATATATCTGTTTCTTGGCTCTTAATGACTCTCACTTATGCGAAGTCTTAGTACGAAGCAGGTCAGTCTTTCTACCCAGACCTTCTTGATTTTCTTCTAGGATATCTTGTTTTTGCTCAAACTTTTACTCTTCCTTAGAATCTGCTTGTTGCTCTATGCCTTAAACAAAATTAAAAATTAAAATTAAAAAAGGGAAGAATTCTTTGGAGACTTGACATAATTACAATTTTGAATATTCCTATCTCTGTCTGGTTAGGTCTTCTTTAATACTTATTTGTTTATTTGGAACTGGGAATTGAACCTAGGGATACTCAATCACAGAGCCACATCCCCAGCCCTGGGTCTTCCTAAGTTGCCCAGGGCCTTGCTAAGTTGCTGAGACTGGCTTTGAACTTGAAACCCTCCTGCCTTAGCCTCCTGAGCCACTAGAATTACAGGCATGTGCCACTGTGTCCAGCTTCTATACTATTTAATTTATTTTTTGATTTTTTGTAGTTGTAGGTGGACAGAATGCCCCTATTTATTTGCTTATTTTTATATGGTACTGAGGATTGAACCCAGTGGCTTACACATGTGAGGCAAGTGCTCTGCTACTGAGCTACAGCCCTAGCCCTTCTTTAATATTTTTTTATATATATATTTTTAGTTATAGTTGGACACAATATCTTTATTTTTATGTGGTGCTGAGGATTAAACCCAGTGCCTGTCATGCATGCAAGGCGAGCTCTCTCCCTGTGAGCCACAATCCCAGCCCCCTCGTTAATGTTTTTAATAAAGGTTTTCTTTAATTAAATGTATAATTTTCTCAAAAAAGACTTACATATATTTGTGGTGTATTTCTTTCTAGGAATCTTAATTTTTTGTTAGCTTTTTGGTTTGCTAGTGGTATTTAGATACCCAATTTACTTTCACATACTGGTGACCATACAGAACTTAACTAATTTCAATTATTTGTGTGGGGTTTATCTCCCACCTTTTTAATCTTTGTATGTCAACACTTCATATTATTGGAATTTTTCTTTTTTCTTTCTAATCTTTATACCTTGTTCTTGTGTTTTGCTAGCAATACAAATCACAGAGTAATATTTTTTTTATCTTGAATTAATTTCCTTGGTAAATTTGTTTCCTTTTTTTAGGTTTATTAGGCTTTCATAAAATTCTTAATTTGAGTGGATTCTCTCCTGATTTCCATTTTTATTTCCAATGTGTGTTTAATTTTTTTTGGCTAAACTTTTAACTTATCATTTATTGACTGTATGATACCAGTTTTTAATTTTATTTATACTTGTTTTTAGTCTGTTTTAAATTCTCTTTTGTTTGATATTAATAGAATAGAAGCATACTGTCTCCTTTTGGTAGGGATTTAACTGATATCTTTTTTCCCTTTTTCTTTCAACCTGTATCTTATAATTTTATAACTGATTATGGTTTTTTAAATATATTGTGGTAATTCTTTAACTGGTGTTTCAGTTTAATAAAAATCTAAAATTAATCAATATCCTTAACCCAGGTACTTAAAAAGTCTCTCTCTCTCTCTTTTGTTTGTTGTTTGTACTGCTCACCCTCGTTTTTAAAAACCAGCTTTATTTTATTAGTAGGTATAAATTCCTGCAAGTTTCACTATTGTAATAGCATACAGTAGCACATGAAAGTAATCTCAACTACTAGGGACACTGAGGCAGGAGGATCACAAATTCCAAAACCCTGTTTCAGAATAAAAAAACAAAAAGGACTTGGTTCAATCCCAGTACCATCCCCTGCCCTCCAAGAAAGATTGACCCTTGTAAGTGAATTCAATGATTTTTGTCAAATAAACTCACATTATGTAATCATCACCAGTCATGATACAGAACACTTTCATCACCTCAAAAGATTGCCTATGCCCTTTTGTAGTTAGTTAGTCCCTCCCACATCCCTAATTCCCGATCTGCTTTCTAACCCTCTAGTTTTTTGTTTTCCAGAATGTCATTTATGTGGTATTTTATAATACATTTCATTTCATCTGCCTTCTTTTATTCACCATATTGTTCATTTAGGTCACCCCTGTTGTTGTGTGTCTAAGTAGTATTCCATTGTTGAGAGGTTTATAAATTTTATCAGTTGATAGGCATTGGGATTATTTTAGCATTTCTGCTATTGTGAATATTGGGACCGTATCCTGGTCTTCACAGTTGACACTATTCTTTGGCCTCCTGGCTTTCTTTACTGCTTTTGTGAAATTTATTATCTAATTGTTATTATACTTCAAAATAACCTGATATTTTGTTTTGGGTGTTGTACTGAATGTTATATGACTATTTCTTCTTTTATCTGATTAGAATTCATTAAACTTTCTGAATATGAGGTTTATCTTCCAAGTTACTAATTCTCTTTAGAGCTAATCTCCTGCTTCACCATACTTTGGACCTGAGGGACCCTGAATTGAATGAGTATTGGATTGTTTCTTGGCTCATTACAGTTATGTTTTTCTTTTAAATTTCAGAATTTGTTGTTTTAGAATAGTCTACACCCATAAAGAAGAATAGGCTGCTATTAGGTATCTTTAATTTGGAGTTCTAAGATCTAAGAATAGAGATGAAGTTATTTTCATTTAAGTATTGATTTTCTTGAGGTTTTGTGTGCAACACTCCTTAACTAATTTTGAATAAGATTTTTAACCAGTGCCAAATGGAGTTGTTGTGGTTAGTGGTTGAATAATGAATGGCATAATATCTAATAATGCTTTGATTACGTCCACAATTTAGTGAATAACTTTGTCTTCCTCTTATTTTTTCATTCTAGATATGATACACCAACTTCTAAAAAGAAAGTACGAATTAAAGACCGTAATAAACTTTCTACAGAGGAACGCCGGAAGCTGTTTGAACAAGAGGTGGCTCAGCGGGAGGCTCAGAAACAACAGCAGCAGATGCAGAACCTGGGAATGACATCGCCCCTGCCCTATGACTCTCTTGGCTATAATGCCCCTCATCACCCCTTTGCTGGCTATCCACCAGGTTATCCCATGCAGGCATATGTGGATCCCAGCAACCCTAATGCTGGAAAGGTGCTCCTGCCTACACCCAGCATGGAACCTGTGTGTTCTCCTGCTCCTTATGATCATGCTCAGCCCTTGGTGGGACATTCTACAGAACCCCTTGCTGCTCCTCCACCAGTGCCAGTGGTACCACATGCAGCAGCCCCTGTGGAAGTTTCCAGTTCACAGTATGTGGCTCAGAGTGATGGTGTGGTACACCAGGACTCCACTGTTGCTGTCATGCCAGTACCAGCTCCAGGCCCAGTCCAGGGACAGAATTATAGTGTTTGGGATTCAAACCAACAATCTGTCAGTGTACAACAGCAGTACTCTCCTGCACAATCTCAAGCAACCATATATTATCAAGGACAGACATGTCCAACTGTCTATGGTGTGACATCTCCTTATTCACAGACAACTCCACCAATTGTACAGGTAACTAATTCTGGAACCTCTATTTCTGTCTTACAGTTTGTTATAGGATGTTAATTAAATCTGGTACAAGGGGAGAAATCCTACCATTGATTGCTTATGGATGTAGATCTTTATTTTTTTTCCAGTGCTAGAGATCAGTTTTAGGGCCTCATGCATGCTAGGGCAAGTGCTTTACCTCTGAGCTATATATAACACCAGTCTCTAGAGCAATGATAAATATTGATTATTGCGTACAAACACACACACACACACACACACACACACACACATACACATTATATATTAATTATTGTTATGCAAAATATTGCTCCAAAATGTAAGACAACAACTAATTATTACTATCTTACAGTTTCTGTGGGTCAGGAATTCAGAAGTAATTTAACTGGGTGGTTCTAGATGAGAATCTTCCATGAAATTTCAGACAGGCTCTTGGCTAGAGCTTCAGTTATCTGTACATCATGAGTATGACATTTGGAGCAAATGTATACTCAGAAAGTGATTTTCTCATTTTTTAACATACTCACATCAGCGTAAAAGCTCAGTTTTAACCAAGGTGTCATATAATTATAGTGGTTTTGAGATACTAATAAGTGGCTTATTCTTAAAAACTTATAAATAATCTCAAAAAATTGAGTGCTTAGACTATAATTTTTTACATTACACAGTGAAGTGATTCAAATATAATAAAATAATAGTGACTTCCCCCCCAGAAGTAGGGTAGAACAATGAGATTTTTCCTTCTACAACATACTAAACTTTGTTTTCTTTTGTAATTCACATTTTAAACATATTTAAAATCACATTTAAAAATATTTCTAGCTGGATTTATATTTGAAAAATAAGTTTTTATGTAATTTCAAGGTGTTTGAACAGGCAAGACCATTTGCTGCAGGATTTTTGCCAGCAAATAAATTCAACAAATACATGATATTTATATATGTCTTACAAATTATGTACATCTTTTGTAGTATTCCATTTGGACTGCAAACCAGTTTCCCCTTTTTGGTTTATATAAACCTAATAAGTACTTAAAAAAAAGTAGATATCACTATTATTGGTTTTGATGTTAGCATATGATTATTAACTAGCTTGAATAGAGAGAGATAAAATAATAGATCCCTAAAAAATGTTCATTAACAATGTATCTCCTGCTGGTTATGGTGATACATACTTGAATCCTGGTGACTCAAGGGGCTGAAACAGGAGGATTGAAAGTTCAAGGCCAGCCTTAGCCATTTAGTGAGATCCTATCTCAAAATAAAAAGGGATAGGGATGTAGCTCAGTGATAAAGCATACCTGGGTAAAATTCTTAGTACAAAAACAACAACATATCTATTAATGATTGCAATGTTGTGTGATTACTAGTTCAATCACTGATATTAATATCTTTTGCCATTTCCTTTGGGAATTATTTTCCTGTTTTATTCCTGCTGGTAAATTGT